ATACATCTGGTTGTCCATTTTCATGGAAGGCAATACAGCCTAAGATACATGTCTATATTGATTCATGGATAGTGACTAATGGATTATATAATTAGTTAGGTACCTCAAAGAACAAGGCTGTTAGACTAGAAATAAGGATTCTGGAAGAACATTTTGAGGCTAGGTCTCCTAGAATGAGGAAAAAAATGAATATATATTTGTGCCCTGGGTAAATACTCACCAAAGGGCATTCTCTGTAAAAAGCCTCTCAATCAGATGGACTCAGTGATTCATGTTATGAATGTCAATTAGCCTTTTTCACAAATGCTTGCCCAATGGATTTATGTACAAAATGGTCATGGCAGCAGGAATGGAGGCTATGAATGGGTTCAACAATATGGACATCTACTTATCAAGGCTGATATGCCTATCATCACAGCTATACGCCTATGCAGTCAACTGCTGGGTCCAATATTGAGCCCCTAATAAGGTTCCTGGAGGGGAACTAGCCAGCAACTAGGGGACAGATTCATTACACTTGACCTCTTCTATCATTGAGAGGGCAACAATTTGTTTTCAAAGGACTAAATAGACAGCCCAGAAAGAAATTAGCATTGACTTAAGAGAATGTGTATTATTATCATGGTAATTCTGTACAATACTGTCTCCAAAGGAGTTATTTTATAGGGAAGGAAGTACAGCAACAAGCTCATATACGTGTAATTCATGGGTCTTACCACATTTCCCATCACCCAGAAGTAAGTTTCAATAATAGTGGAATGATATACTGAAGGCTCAGTTACAGTACCAGCCAGGCAACAACCCCCTGATAAATTTGGGGTGCTGTCATACAGGATGCAATATATGCCTTAAGCCAGAGGACAATAAACAGTGTTGCCTTCTCCACGGGTAGAATATATGGGAATAGGAGCCAAGGGTAAAGTGGTAATAAATATCTCTTCTTACTATATAACTAATAATCCACTTACATTATTTTTACTTTCTATCCCATAATCTTGGGTTTGGTGGTTTTAGGGTTCTGGTTCTCAGAGGAGAAATACTTCTACCATGGAATAAAGTCATGATTTTGTTAAATTTGAATCTGAGACCGCTTCCTGGCCATTTTGTACTCCTCATGCAGCTGAACCAACAGGCAAAGGAAGTATCATTCTACTGGCCAGCATGACTGATACCAATTGCTACTGGGGAACTGGCTGCTGCTATATACTAAGAGCAAAGAACAATATGTGTAGGCCTCAGAGGATTCAATGGAGGTGCTTCCCAGTTTTCTCATATCTAAATTGCCCAGTCAATGATAAACTGAAGCAATATGGAAGAGACAGGATCAAGGACTCTGATCATCCAGGAAAAAAGGTTCCTGTTACTAAACTAGGTAAAGAACTTTGCCACTAAGATTCTGGCAGAGGGTACAGACAATATGGAATGGGTGATGGAAGAAGATAGTTATGATTATCAGTTTTGGCTTTGTGAATAGTAAAAACTATAGCAGTTATTTTAAGGTAATTATTCCTTTCCCCACTCTTCCTCAGTACTTATATGAAGAGCACCAGTGGCAGTGATGCTTATGTTTCAGATGGGAATATAATTTGATTACAAGTCAACCTGCGAAGAAATGGTAGCTTCAGAGACTGTTTTTCTGCTAAATTGGGAACATAATCCAAACAAAGAACAAAAGCAAATATTATAGATTAAAAGGGGTGGACTGTAATGGGATATTTCCCTTTCCGTCCTCTAGATCTACTGCTTACTTTGCTCTGTGCTTCAGAAGGCTGATACCAGTATATGGACTGCAGCTCTTGGGGTTCTGTGTCCTCTGGCTTGCAGTTAGATTTGGCCCAAAGTAGGAGGAGAATTGTAGAATGACCAGCTATCCTGGGTTGTCCAAAAACAGAGGTGGTTCTTGGGATATGGGACTTTTATTGCTAAATCCCAGGGAAACTGGGATCTAGCTCTTCACTCTACATTCTGGCTCTCTTCTTGCAGAGCCAGGAGCTGGCAGTGTTTCTTTGAGCAAAGGCCATGGCTCCTATTGGCAGTTCTACCCTACAACTATACTCTCCAGGATCTGGTAATTAGTCTCTTCCTTTGTAACTTTAGGACTAAAGGTAGCAACTGCTCCTCATTTTTTTGTTGTTGTTGTTTTTGGTTTTGGTCCCAAGGTTGTTCTCTATCCTTAGTTAATTTCTGTAATACTGCCCATCCTTTTCATGAAACATTGAATTACCTAATTTGCATTCAAACCATCTGTTTCCTGCTAGAATCCTGACTTATACATCCCGGTTTATTTTCTTCATAACTATTATCACTATCTATACTCTCATATATTTATTTATTTATTTATTGTTTCTCCCACCAGAATGTAATCTCCTTGAGCGCAAAGGCTTTACCTTTTCAGTTCACTGCTATATGCCCAGGACTTATAATCATGCCCGCAGAGAGTTAACACTCAGTAACTAATCATAGTATATGATTAGTAATAATTAATAAGCTATAGTCTGATCAACTAATACACTTTATCAACAATAGGTATTTGTTGAATAGTTAATTAAATTATTTGAAGGATACATTAATGTGAGCAGTGACTGTCTCTAGATGGTGGAGCTGTAGATTAATTTTTGTTTTGTACTTTTCTGTATTTTATAAATGTACTTTATGTAATTATATTACTCTATAGTAAAAAAAAGTTATTTTACACATACTCTAAAAGACACAAACACATACAATATGTATATTAATGTATGTAAAACTGAAAGGAGACCCAATTCCTCAGTGATTCTCAGGAAAAATGAGAGCTAGATTCCTTAGAATAGATTCTTTTTTTTTAATTTTTAAAAAATGTTTTATTTATTTCTGAGAGAGAGAAAGAGGCAGCGTGAACAGGGGAAGGTCAGAGAGAGAGGGAGACACAGAATGTTAAGCAGGTTCCAGGCTCTGAGCTATCAGCACAGAGCCCGATGTGGGGCTCTAACCCACACACCATGAGATCATGACCTGAGCTGAAGTTGGACGCTTAACCGACTGAGCCACCCAGGTGTCCTAGAATAGATTCTTTAGGTAAGACAAGTACCAAATACAGAAGACAGAAACAAAATAAAATAGAGATACTTCAAAACATAAAGAGGCAGAAGATCTAGAGTAAAAGAAAATGACAATAGAGGATGAATTTCACAGGCAAAATGGCAGCCATGGGAAGACCAAAATCAGAATGCAGCAAAATATGATGTGGGAATGAGACCCTGCAAAACATCTGAATAAAGTCAGGATTAACATTATCTTACTAAAAACAGCAGTGCACCTGTCCAGCCTGTGCTCAGAGCTTTATATATGGGAATATCATTAGGGCTTGTGGTGTTTGTTATAGTAGTAATCCTATCTCCAAATAACTATGCCCTTGTGTAGTTCTCTTCCACAATGACTCTGGAACTGGTCATGTGATTTCCTTTGGTCAGTACAACACAAGCAGGTTAGAAAAGTGCCTGTGCATTGTAGAGCTTTCCCACTCTCTGTATGGGAAACTGGCTGCCCTGTGAAACAGACTGGGCTAGCCTGCTGCAGATACATGACTCACACCATACCTGGCACGAACAGCCAGACATGTATGACTGCTACCAACTCAGACCATGGCCCTAGCTGAGCCACTAGATGACTGCATGAGTGATCCCAGGCAACCAGGAGAAAAACTGCCCAGCTGAACCCAGCCTAAGTTGACGACACACAGAACCATAGGTCATCATAGAAAATAATACGGTTTAAATATGTCTGATGTTTTGGAGCGCCTGGGTGGGTCAGTCTGACTTCAGCTTAAGTCATGATCTCCCAGCTGGTGAGTTCAAACCCTGCATCAGGCTGTGTGCCATCAGCATGGAGACCACGTCTGATTCTCTGTCCCCTTCTCTCTCTGCTTCTCTGGCTCTCCTCCACTCTCATGTGTATATGTGTGTGTGTGTGTGTGTGTGCGTGTGTGCATGTGCACGCATGCACAGATGTGCTCGCTCTCTCTCAAAAATAAGTAAACATTTAAAAAAAAGGTCTGATGTTTTAGGTCACTAAGTTTTGGGGTTCTTTATTATGTAGTAATAGACACAATCCTCAAAATAACCTCCAAGGTATGAGTTATACTTATAAAATGGGGAAACAGAATCATGACAAAGCTAGTATTTGAATCCAGGCTGTCAGACTTCAAAACTTTAAACTATGCCCCTACAATACATAAAAAGGATGACCTGAAAAGATTTTTTTAGTGTTCATTTAGTTTTGAGAAAGAGAGACATAGCACGAGCAGGAGAAGGGCAGAGGGAAAGGGAGACACAGAATGGGAAGCAGGCTCCAGTCTCTGAGCTGGCAGCACTGGGCTCTCTCGGGGCTCAAACTCACAAGCTAGATCATAACCTGCGCTGAAGTTGGATGCTTAACTAACTGAGCCACCCAGGTGCCCCATAAAAGATGACCTGAGAAGATTTTAAAGGGAGAATATCAAACACTGACAGATTGGTGATAAAGTGGTTATAACAGGAAAAAAATGGGTAACTCTGGGGACTTAAGGAGAGGAGGGAACTCCATGAGAATCTGATTGCTAAAATTCACAATAAAGCCATGTGATGTGCTTGCAGCACTACAGTACTGCCTAATATAGTGAGGGTAGGCAATGAAGAATACCAACAGCACTTGAAAACGCTAATACAGGGGCGCCTGGGTGGCTTAGTCGGTTAAGCGTCCGACTTTCGCTTGGGTCATGATCTCGCGGTTCGTGGGTTCGAGCCCCGCGTCGGGCTCTGTGCTGACTGCCAGCTCAGAGCCTGGAGCCTCTTTCAGTCTGTGACTCCCTCTCTCTCTGACCCTCCCCTGCTCACGCTCTCTCTCTCTCTCTCTCCTAGAAATAAATAAAAAACATTAAAAAAAATTAAAAAAAAAAAAAAAAAAGAAAACGCTAATACAGCACCAGTAACAACCCTCCCCACCCTCTGAAACCATTAAGAAGGATAAAACACACTGCTTCTCACCTGACAGAAGGTGGTGTTCCTGAGATTCAGAATCGAAGTGGATCTCCATGGGCTGCAACTGGACACTTAACACCTCAGGGAGCAACTGGAGAATTACCATTTCCTTAGCAAGCTGTTCTTGTCCATATAGGAGTCTGAAGCCTGGAGGCAACTGGGCACCACTGGGCTTGGAAGAGAATCATGGTGGATACTGGAGATAAAGTTTCTGAGACTAGACCACCAGAAACATCCCCTAGATTGAAAAGAAGTGAAGGAGAAAACAAAATCTCATTTAATCTCCAAGTGCTTTTCTCTCAGAATTTACTAAGCTTCCTCCCTCATCATCCAGGAGTCAGGCGTTCTTTGGACATGTACTCTCCATCCCAAGTCTAGAGACCTTCAAACATAACTGGAGGTTAATGCTAACTGAAATAAAGGCATACTGGAAAGATACTGCAGGGGAGGGAAATGAAAATTTTTGTTCCAGCGGTTAACACTGTATTGGCTGCCTTTACCATACCGAACTGACATTACGGATCCCTCATCATTATCTGTTTTTATTTCCCTCTTTCCCTTCTTCCCAGCACTCACACGTGCAGGTTACTCTTTCCCGAGGCACGCTCGGCTCATCTGCGTGAACGCATCCCCTTCCTGATTCCACTTGCCCCCAAAGTTTCTGGTGTTCATTCAGGTGAACCCAAGGCCGAGCGGGCGCTGACCGGGGACCCAAAGCACACTAGGCCAAGGAGCCACCGAGCCCAGGAGCGGCGCCTGGGGGGACCCCAGAGGCCTAGACTCTCCATGAACACAACAAAATACACAGGGCTCCCTGGCGGCGCTGCAAGGCACAGGGGACATCACCCGAGTTCCTCGGCCTCCCGCGACCTGACACCACCCATACCCCGACTTGTTCTCCAGGTCGCTGTCAGGCCTCACATGCTGCGAACCCGCCATCGCCGCGTCCGCTCTAGGAATCTGGGAGGATTGCTCAGCTCTATGGCGCGGGACCTCGCAAGCGCGCACACGCAAGGGGGCGGCGGCCGCGGCGGGCTGCGGGTCGCGGCGGCTGTTTGCCGAGAGTTAACCCGTGAACCTCCGCGAAGCTGACCTCAGCCCAGCCGTAGCTAGCGACCTGGTGAGCCAGCGACAGGTACCTCGCTGCCCTATCTGCCGGTTCTTGGCGTGAATGTCGAAACATCTTTCACGAAAGATCTCTGGGGGCAGGGTAGGTTTTCTGACTACGTAATGAGTTCTTCCTTATTATCTTATTCATTTTGAATCCCCATTCCAAACCTTCCCTTCATATTCGCTCGTGTGCTTCCGTTCTAACTTTCTTCCTGCCCTCTCTGGTTTTTCCTGACCTCTGGTTTTTCCCTCAGAACAGTGGCGTGCCTCCAAACCATCTGGAAGCTGTGTTAAAATACTTTTTACTGGACCTCGTCCCCGGAGTTTACCACTTAGTAGGTCTGGGAGCCCAGGTTCAGGTGCTTGTGCTGTTGGCTCTGGGACCACACTTTGAGAACCATTGCCCTAAAAATAAGTAATAATCAGCAATTCCTGAATTGAGGGGAAGCTGGAGTTTCATGTACTTTGCCATCAATGAAGGCCACAGGGTCCATTTCTAAATAGCTTACTTAAGAGGAAATTAAAAAATATGTGGAGACAAATGAAAATGAAAACATAATAGTGCAGAAATCTTTGGGAGGCAGCAAAAGCTGCTCTAAGAGGGAAGTTTATAGCAATACAAATCTACTTCAAGAAACAAGAAAAGTCTCAAATAAATAACCTAATCTTACACCTATAGGAACTAGAAAAAGAACAAACGAGAATCAAAACCAGTAGAAGGAAGGATATAATAAAGACTACAGCAGAAATAAACGAAATAGAAACGAAACAGATTTCTTGCCAGTATAATCTTCACTGTGGCTAAAGGATCAGGGTGAGAAGAAGGACCTGAAATTGGGGGGAGAGGGGTGCATATCACGATAGGAAAGGATATTGTTGGGTCCTTGGAAATATCTTGGGAAGTAAGGGGGAATTAGGAGAAGGACTGAAACATATGATTTAGGTTGAGATGTTGGGAAGGAGAGGTACAGGTTTGAGAAAGTGGTGGCTGGCTGAAATGATGGCAGAGGTACAAGTCGAGGGCTTTCTATTCCAGCCCAAGACTGTTTTCTGATCTGTGAAATCTTAGGGATGTACAAATGAGACCCTAATATCCCTGTAAATAACTTGTTTGGGGTCCAGTCCTCCCAAGAATGGAGTGCAGATACTTTTTTTTAAAAACCAGTTTTACTGTGATATAGCAGACAAGTAATAGTCAGCAAATATTTAGGGTAGACAGTTTGGTAGGTTTTGTCACATGCATGCAGTTGTGAAACCATCACCACAGTAAAAATAGTGAACACCTCCAGCAACCCGAGACGTTTCCTTCTATCTTGAGTTATCTCCTCCGTTTCTTCCTGCAGCTCCTAACCACTGTTCTGCTTTGTGTTACTATAGATTAGCTTGCATGTTTTGCAGATTTATTTAAATGGAATTACACAGAATGCACTCTTTTTTTGGTCAGACTTCTTTCACTGAGCATTATTATGAGATTTATCTATATTACTGTGTGTATTAGTAGTCCGTTCCTTTTTGTTGCTGAATATATATTCCTAATGAAATTTATCTATATCTATCTATGTATCTATGTATCTATCTATCTATCTATCTTCCTAATGGAATACTGTGTGTATAAGTAGTCTGTTCCATTTTGTTGCTGCATGAATATATATATTTCTAATGGAATTCCATTATATATATATGATATATATATATCACAATTTATTTATCCATTCATGAGTTGATGGGAGTTTGGGTTATTTCCAGGTTTTTTACTATTACAAATAAAGCTGCTATGAACATTGGTGTCCAAGAATTTATATGGACATATACTTTTTTCACTTTCATGGTAGTTGTATGTTTAACATTTTAAGAAAGTATTACACTGTTTGTCAGAGTGGCTGAGTCATTTTTCATTCCCACCAGCAGTATATGAGAGAATACCATAGTTGACATACTACTTTTGACAAGTTTTTAGTAAAAGAGAATCAGAAAGTTAACCAAAGGTTAATTCTTATGTGCAAAGGTAAGGGTTTTATTAACTTTTTACATGGAAATAATGATGTGAACATATGCTTTGTGTGTTTAACGGAGAAAATCAAACTTTTTCAGATTGTGCTAGATTTGTTGCTTTGTGGAGTCTTACCAAAGATGTTGCATTCTGAGGCTGAGAAGCTAGCTTGGAATCTAAGTTTGATCAGTCAGCCAAAACAACCCTAGACCCAGTTGTGGTCCACACCAGCTGACTCTGAAGAGGTTCCTCTCAGTGAGGCAAAAAGAATTCAAAGGTTTCCAAAGAGATCAGGAGTGATAATACAGGCATGGGAAATGATATTAGATTCTCAAGAATGAAACTGATAGCTCACCCACCAGTATTCTGCCTCATTTCTGTTTCCTATTGCATTTCCTCTTGGGGGAAACTAGGCCAAACTGACAAATGTCTGATTTAGGCATAAGGTTCTGGAGCAGTGGTTCTTAATCCTTTTTGGATAATATAACTACTGTGAGACTATGATAGAAACAACAGACCTCTTCTTCAGAAAGTTGAACATAAAGACCTAAATGTGAACTTTTGCTTATCATGTATTATATTGTATGAGAAATTAATTTCCTTTAGGCTATATAAGCAGTCTTCACAAAGAATTAATTTTAATCTAAAAATTAATCTCTAGGTACAGGTAAACAAGGGAAATAAATCCAAATTGTGAAGCTAAATGAAAAAATTAACTTTCCTTTTTGTCAAATAAATATTAACAAAGGTTAATAAGATATTAACAGCAGTAGGCTGCTACTATTTGTTTTTTGAATGATAGATCTAAATTATGGACAATCCAACGTCTTTGAAATGTTAATATGCATGTCCAATTGACTGTGACTTTTTAAAAACAGAACAAGTACTGAAAACTGAGATTCAGAAAGTGAACTAATGGCCAGTATAATCAGTTTCCAAGGTTCACTTCGACAGAGATGAGTGGGCTTATATCAGAAACAGCAGAAACAGCAGAACTCCCCAAGACCTAGAGTCAAATTCAAACCAGATCATTTCTTTTCAATCAGTGAGGTCACTGGCATCAGTCTGAAGTCTTCAACTTCAAAACCAAGTCACAGCAGTTTGAACGACTCTTGGTTTGTACTTAACATATTATTGTGGGTTGAATTGTGTCTCCCATCACAATTGTGTACCTGTTAATGTGACTTTATTTGTAAGCTGGGTCTTTGCAGATGTAATCAAGTTAAGATGAGATCATACTGGAATAAGGTGGGCCCTAACCCACCAGCTGGGGTCTTTATAAGAAAAGGTAGGTTCATACTCAAAGGAGACTCACAGAGGGGAGAGGACACCAAGCGAATGTGGAGGCAGTCATTAAAGTGATGCATCTACAAGGCAGAGAACAGTAAGGATTGCCAGATAGGAAATAGGCATGAGCCTTAGCACTTTCAGAAGGAGCATGGTCCTGCCAGCACCAGATTTTGGATTTATAACCTCTAGACTGTGAGAAAATAAATTTCTGTTCTATTAAGCCACTCTGTGCCACCAGAAGTGAGGTGCTGCTTTAACAAATGCCTAAAAATGTTGATGTGGCTTTGGAATTGGGTAATGACAAGAAACTGGGAGAGTTTTGAAGGTGATTCTGGCAAGGGCTTGGAAGGAAGGGAAAAGGACAGTAGAGCAGTAGAGCAGTTTTATGTCATCTTAGAGAATACATATATTGTCATGAACAGAATTTTGCTAGAAATATTGAACATTCAATACACTCCTGGTGAGGTAACAGACAGAAATGGAGAACACATTATAGGAATCTGGAGAAAAGGTGATACTTGTTTCACAATTAGCAGAAACTTAGCTGAATCACGGTCTACTGTTGAGTGGAAAATAGAACTTGTGAGTGATGAACTTGGATATTTAGCTGAGGAGCTTTCCAAGCTTTCCAAGTATGAAAGATGTGTTCTAGTTTTTCCTTGTTGATTATAGTAAAATGTGAGAGGAAAGAGATAAATTGAGAAAGGAACTGTTAAGCAAAAAAGGAATCAGTACTTCATGACTTAGGAAATTTCCCAGCCTATCCTTGCTCTGGAGACAAGGCCATGAATATAGCTAGACAAAGTTTTGGTGAAGAGATTGGGTATGTGACTCATGGATCCAATCAACTTATCTCAAGTGAAACCAGAAACAGAAATGGGGGTACCCAAGAAGGATCTGTGGAGAACCCTGCATATAACTGTGGGGACCCCAAATATCCATAGAAGACCAGCATGGTTTTTGAGAATGTTATATCACCAGATATACCACCAGCTTGGACTGAATCAGACAGAGACAGGACAAAATGAAGGAAGACTTCTAGGATTCTACATGCAGGAAATGGGGTGCCCAGTGAGGGGGTCCACTTCTGAGGGCTGAGAGACCAGAACCACCTCAGATGAGAGGCACTGATGGAGCTTCTGTTGTTGCAGGAGGCATATGAGCAACAGAATAATTTGTGAATTCTACAGATATTTGGAAATTAAACAGCCTATATCTAAATAACCTGTGCTTCAAAGAAGAAATCACATAGGAGATTAGAAAAGATTTTAAACTTTGGGTGCCTGGGTAGCTCAGTTGGTTGATCATCCAACTCTTGATTTTGGCTCAGGTCTTGATCTCAGGGTAGTGGGATTGAGTCTCAAAGCCAGGCTTCATGCTGAGTGTGGAACCTGCTTGGGATTCTCTCTCTCTCTCTCTCTCTCTCTCTCTCTCTCCCCCTCAGCCCCTATCTCACATGTGTGCATGTGCTCTGTCATTCTCTTAAAAAAAAAAAAATATATATATATATATATATATAACTGAATGAAAATGAAATGCAACATATAACATTT